ACTCATGGAGCTGGACTCAGAAGACATGGGCTCAAGAACAACATTCTGAACCAATCAGGAAACAGAACGCAGTTATCACAGTCTATACCTGCCACATATTCCTCAGAAAAGGTACCAGATGGAAAAATCTGGATTTTCTTCAGCTGCTCAAAGCAGATGGTGGTTAGATGCTATCACATGACTTAAAAACACATGAAATCCAAAGATTGAGTTTGATTACAGGAAACTGGTGACCATCTTGTACTCAGCCTTCTCTGCCACAATCAGAAATTGAGTATTTAGATCAAAAGAAAGTTATGCAAGAGTTAAAGTAACCTATTCACTCACTCCATTTTAGGAGATAAAACTGGTAATTACCAGCACTGGATCTAGTATTTTTCAGTTACCCTAGAAGTTTGCAACTTTAAAGAGTAATTTGTAAAACAAAGGATTCTCAACTGAATAACTCTGGCACATTAGTAAGCTCAGATAAAGTAGAAAAGTCTTCATCTACTTGTTCTCTCAAGATGCAATTCTATAATCACAGCACAATGACTGAAATCCCTTTTACTGTATTTGCAAAGTAATTATAACCAAGGACTTACATCAACAACAAGGTAACCAATATGGATTTTATAAGCTAAGCATAACTCAAAACATCTGCTAATCATTCTTTTTTAGGCCCCGTGAAAAAGGCAATGGATATATTCTTTGCTTCCTTCAGAACTCTGAGCTTCAATCCAACATGGCTGATACAGAAGTGCCCCACTCAATTCCTCTATATTGATGTCAAGATGAGTTTTAAAGGTAAAGAATATTTAGAGTTTTGAGCAGTAGCTGAAGTATGAGAGGACTACCAAAACCTCGACAATCAGTCCTTTTTAGATAGTCTTTTAATAAGCTCTACTACTACCAGTCCAGGCTACAGCTCTTCAAGATGTAGTGTCAAACGATCTACTTGAAAATGGGATGGACATTTTCAAGTTCAGAATACAGGCTATCATATTTAGTTTATGTCATCAGCCAAATTTGAAACTCCGTAACATGAAGTTAACTTCCACGTGATTGCATATGCAATCTGCTATATATTGGGTCAGTAGTCGAAATGAGCCAACAGTGAGGTAACCAAATTTAAGTTTACTATAGAGCTACTAATCACCAACCATATAGTGTTTTCCAGTTTACTAGCTTTGCTGTATTTTAATACCTCTCATTTTCATCTTCTCACAACCTCACCACCAATAAACACCACCCTGCTCTCGAGCCTATCCCTAGGGTGTGTATACAAAATCTATTAATCTTATTTGATTTTGTTTGAATCAAATATAGACCTCCTATACTGTAGTCTGCAGACATTTTGAATTACAACATAACCTCAACATTACAAAAAAAAAAAAAGCAGCACCAGAAACTGTGAAAAAATTGATCTAGCAGGATTATCTAATTAGGATTTAATAACATTTAATCCTAATTACTGTAGCAGCACTACTTTATCTTCTTTCACACAGGTACAGCTCTCTGCTTTTTCTGTGTTAGCTTTCCTCTTAGAAGTAAATGTCTACTTGCAAAGTTCAGAAACCCTTATCTTCATCAGATGAGACACTTCAACCTCCACTAAGAGACAGTCAAGTTCTAAACAATATCTGTCTTCATTCGCATGATCCTCTAGCATATCTTTGGAGTGCTATTACACTCATCACTGAACAATGTTGCAGACTTAGGACAAGAAAATTTTCTTTTTCTCTTGCAATAGCATAACTTTTCAAGGTTTACTTACTGTTTATCTTAAAGGTTATAAGACATTTAAGAAAAAACATGCAATGGTGTGGAAGAGGCACTTGCCTTAACTCCAAGCTTCAGTCTGCAGCACTGATCAGTGATGGGTGTGATGACACCACGAGAGTGCATGCTGAAGTATCACATAAAGGAAGCTGAAGTTCATGAACAAGAGGGAAAAATAAAACATTGTTAAACTGTGAAAAGGTGTTAGGGTGAAAATTACTCAGGAGCGTAGAGAAGCTAGAGAAAAATACACATCTCGAACTTCTGCCTTTCTCAAAAATTCCTAGTTATATTTGGTTTTCGTAATTCTGCAAAGGCACCCCAGCTCCTATAACATGGATAAAAACAAAAAATCCTTTTATTTCCTGGATAAACTTCTGCTTCCAGTAATGCTGGTGACAAATTACTCATTGAATTAAAAAAATATAGTATTTTAACCCATAAATACTACTAGCCTTTATCACTTATAGCTCCTCCATTAATGTAGTAATGAATGCTGACAATTTAAGAAAACATTATGTGCTATTTCTTTACATGTAGAAAGCCTGAGTATTTAGTGATATGCTAATTAACTTATCATTTGCCTTTAATTTTCTTTAAAAAATATATGTACCTGTGCTACACTGAAGACAGTCTCACCTTTCCATGTGCCCTTGCAGTTTTGCACTCTTTTGCAGTTATTTCAATGTGGACTGACTGTCCCACTGTAAAGGTCTTACTTCCTTTCTCACTTTACAGAGTAATGATGAGACCTTTAAACACTCCCAAAGTAAACAAATTCTGAATAATTAAAAATCTTGGCTGAATGCTGCTTTCTACATTTATGATCTTTTTAGGAAAAGGAGAGTATTTCTGACAAATAAGAATCCCTTATTGGCCAAAAATATCGTGATCCTGAAACAGCAGGACTTTGAGCATAGTATTACATGTGCTACATTGAGAATGCACAAAAGGTAATGACAGTCTAAGCATTTATGGTACTAACCAAGGTTTATTTAATAAACGTTTAATGCAATCTCTGTTATCAACATCATTTCATACTTACAGTGCTTGAAACACTGGAAGAATATAGCTATATAATTTTGACCTATATTGAGGCCTAAGCCAGCAGAAAATAAGACAAGCAGGTAATCATTACTTCGATAGTACATCTACCCTTTCTAATTTCTGGTTAAGATGTCTCATTATTAAGCTGAATTTTATACCCATCTGTTAATTCATCATGTCAAAAAAATCCCCAAGCCAAAAACAATCATTGAGATAAAATATGTCATTTTGAGGGCTCACTATATTAATATACACCAAAAAGACACCAAGAGAACACTATCTATAATAGCATGAGACTCTAAACATTTGCCACTATAGCAAATATCAATATATTAGCTAAATAGCTTCAGACCTCTTCACCTCTCCTTGAGGAAAGGATGACATGGATGTCTCCTACTGTTTTACAATGCGCTTTCAGAAACAAGAGCTACCAGTATAGCTTCCACGGCTGACTTCATTTTCCAGTATAGCCTAGAGATTTTAATCTTTTGTGAAGCTGGACAGAGTATTAGCAAAAACAAAGTTTCGCAAATTGAAAAGCATCACATTATTTTAATTTCTAAGTTTATTCAACAAAAATAGTTTTTATCTATCTCCAGTATAATTTAGAGCTAGAAGCACTATCACGCTCTTTGTTTCTGTTTGAAATTCGGTCTTGATCCTTTAGGGAAGAAGAGATTGAAAAATGCTTTGAACATGCCACTAAATAAATATTCTATTGGTCTCACAAAAATGAAGTATAGATTTCTAAAGTATACAAATATTCAAATCATGTGTAGACTACAGGATGCGGGAGAAAAAAAAAAACGTGATAAGTAAAGAGCAAATGAAACTTGGATTGTAAAGATTTCTGGAGTCACGAGTCACCCCTCTCTACGCAACATTCAAACAAAAAATTTAATCCAGACTTACAAAAAGATTTTAAGTATCTGGAATAGCTTAATAACTAACAAGCAGCATCACCATATCAGAACAAACTGCAGGTAGAGACATCTCCACCAAGAGAGAACTTCATTATGTACATGTTACAGGTGTTATCTCAACAATCAAGATTGTTTGCATCCTAATCGTAGTGATATCCTATAAGATATCACCAAGAGGATACACCACTATCTTCCTTTAACTGTGCTATCATTCCAATCAAATTATGTTTTATTTACATCATTACTAAGCTACATAAACCCTACCTAAATTGCTAATTACCAATGAGTGCTTTTTGGACTTTGGTATAGCATTATTCTAAAACTATTTCTTCTTCAGAATGCAGTTTAAAAGATATACATGAAACCAGGCTACTAGTTTCTTTTCCTTCATTTTCTTTCTTTAAATAGTAAGGAGTGCTTTTAAAACAGTAATTTGATCCTGCCAGGTGATATATCAAATTAAAGACATTATTAAATAAATAAATAAATAAAGGCTCAATTACTCTGTTCCAGATTACTTCAGTGGAAGTAAGAAGGACATTTCGAATCACACTCATCTGGAACTTTTTTCCGTACTTTAAATTAATATAAGGCAGATGTATATCAGTATTTCTCAGTTTATTAGTTCTTTCTTCCTTCTTGTAAAATGTTTAATTTCCAGTCTTAAGGACACAATTTACATATATACTGAAGCATAAGGGCTGAAGTTAATATTACAGCTGCTTACAGGTGTAAAAATGCCCAATCAAATAAGATCTGTAAGAAAGATACAGCAAAGGAAAATGAAAAAGCATGTGTAGAATTTAACACTTCAAGGTGCTTATAAAATCACAATTCCTAAAAGCAATTCCTGATGGTTTTCTATTGTATGTTGAGTCAAAGCCAAAAGAAATCAAGGTACACAAACTGGAAAATGTAAAGTAGAAAATTAATATAAACGATTTACGGATAAGCAAAAAGTTTCAATTACTGCAAAACAGCTAAATTAATACATCCTCTTCATATTAAATCCTCTTGATTATAACCACTTTGCCTCCTGAAGCGTACAAACACATATCTGCACGAAGTATATTAATCTCTCTGTTTTACTCCACATGAAAACACTATCAGTTGCTGTACATTCATAGGAATGACTTTCAAGCACATGTAATGAAGCATGAAATAGGAAGTCACAGGTTAAAATGACATTTCAAAACAGGCATGGTACAGTATATTATAAAAAGAAACTCTTTCAAATAGCATATAAAATAACCACAAAGGACTACTCACCATGTCATACGCTGTTACAATCTTTTTCAAGACCTCTGGAACAATCCCTTGGAGCTCCATAGTCGGATACTGATCATTGAGATTCAGTACTACCAAGGGTGTATTATCAGGCCCAACCAAGCGCATAGACACTGCCAAAATGCACTGAATAAGATTTGCTACAGGAGAGAGGCCACATAATTCTTTGAATGAAACTACTGCATTCTGCAAAAAGGAAAGAAAGAGTTTCCTTTACAGTTAAATACTAATTTTAATGTCTCATTCTTTCAGGATAAAATACTTCACTGTTATAGTTGAGGTATAATGTGGAATTACCACAGCTTTTCCCCAAAGAACTGGCAGTTTTCCAAAGCAACCAATATTACTCATATATTTTACCAAAAATGCTAGAAATTCAACCATAATTCAGTACTTGTCACAGGAAAAAATAAACCTATTTAGAACAAGTGTATCTGGTCTCTTATCACTACTAAAATTAACCATGCAAACAAATGAATTCTAAAGCATACTGGTTATATATTTCGAAAAATTCTAAAGACATTTCAAAGTAATTTTTAAAATGTCACAAAGAGCAACAAAATATTAGGTGCTGAATGTCTCAAACAAGCAAAGTGAAGTAGAAGGAGGAATTCAGCCCATTTGTAACTTTAAACATACCTGAACTACAGTCCAGACGTGCTGTGGATCTGCTGGCTCCCATTTGGTGTGATTCACAAACCCAGCACTCCACTACCGATGTCATTCCTATCACAGAATCTCACTTAAGTGAATTTTTAAGGTACTTTAATATAAATACCAATGTTGTACTTTTCTCTAAAATTTATTATAGTTTATTGTAGATCCAATATGTTAGAATAGAAAACGTATGATTAAAATTGAAGAAAATTTCCAATATTAGAAATATTATGTGACTCCAAGCAGCCACTGAAATTCCATGATGGGAATATTCTCAGCACTGTAAAGAATTTAGGATTTTTGTACCAAGTGGGAGCTGGTGATCTATGGCAGGTCTGGAGTTTGTGTTCCTGTAGGAAACAAAAACAAAAACATAGTATATTTAAGTTACAAATGTGCTCAGTGCTCCTTTCTCTCACATCTTACCCAAGCAGGGTATCTGACAGAGATTTGCATTTCAATCAAAATCACTTTCCATCTTTCTGGCATGGTAAAACTCATTTGTGGACAAATTTCTTAGAGAGACATAATGCCAACCTTAATGCAAACAAGAATCAAGCGTGAAATATTTTGCTGTCCCTTTATGAGACAAAATACCTGAAGTAGGCTACAAAGTATGTATATATAGCATATTCATGCGAAATTATGTGAATATGAAGCTACATCTACTACAGTCAATTACAGTGTACTTTAACTCTAGTAAATGTTTAGTAGCACATCACGAATGTCCAGGAAACAGAAACTACTTACAATAACAAGACTACACCTTAAAAACACAATAATTATATAGTTGAAAAGATAGACATTGGGAAGTCCATTCAAACAGATTTTCTTTGAGATAAACGTCATGGGTAAGCCATTATGAACAAACTTACAGAGGGATAAACAAGGACCCAGTCAATGTATATATTAACTAATATAGGACTAATATAGCAGGACAGAACTATGGCTGTAACTCTTGCCTTTGGACTTTCAATGCTATATCCAGAGAATCTCCCTCATACTGTCAAGCAATTTAAACATGCAACATCACATCCACTTTAATCACTCATGTACTTTCATCACTTATGAATATGTAACAACAAGTTATGACATCAGCTTTTGTCATGGTAGTGTAGTACCTAACAAGGAAGAAAAAAGCCTAGCTATGTGCATGCAGATTTAGAGAAACCATTAAATCTCATTGCTGCGAGCTTTCCTTTTTTCTCTTTTCCATTTTATGCTAAAAAAAAAAAACCACAACTTTGCTCTTTACAATCTGGCATGTGGGGACATTATTTCTGTATCATAAAAATCATTAACAATTTATAATGCAAAATTTCAGTAATATAGAAATTAAACAAATCTCACATTCCCTGACATAAGTTGGTATTTATTTTAATTGAGTGGTTTATTTACTTTTATTAGCTGTAAACCCTTAGTTATGCAGTTTAAATTTTGCACATAATATAATCTGTCAGTAAAGCTATGCAAAACTAATACTCCCTCATGTACCTAAAATATCTTCTTGATAGCATTTTGAGAGATGATAAAGATTAATTTAGTTGATAGCACAATTTTCAAACTGACAGAATAAAGTACTTAAAATACCTTTTAATATCTCGTGTTCAAAGAAATCATACTGTAGAGCCTGTTTGCAATTATATCCATTCTGGAAAACACTGCAGTATGAACAGTAAAGAGTCTGAAGTAGCTAAAAAAAACATATATTCCCACTGTTTCCTTGAATCTTAGGTTCAGCTCTTCCTTGAAAGGTATCTTAAAATACCGTATCCTTTATATGACAGAAGTCCAGCCTTCAACAGGTTAACTACAGATAAAGTTCCCATTATATGTAGCCCATAATGTGAAACACTTACGAGTCAAAATATCATCCTGTATTTTTTCAATCATGTTTTAGTATAGCAATTTTATATATAAAGCGAAATGGAAGAGCTTCTTAATGCTGTACTAATTTCTTCTTTCATATGAAGAAAAATAAGTTTTTAAATTGTATTGCTACTAAAATCTATTCAACATAAGATTACTCAGGAAGAAAATTTACCTACACTGATGTGCCTTTTAAAATCCAGAATCAAGTCTCAGACATTTCCTTCAATCAGTTTCCCCTTAATATTACGTAAGAGTAAGAGCATTTAACAGGTCACTTCATTTGAAATGACTATGCTTCATTTTATTGATCACTGGTGGCATTCCATCAAAAGTTTACAGCTAGTTAAAAGCTTTATTAAATAAAACACAACTTTACAGCTCACTTTATATCTAAAAGTGTCTGTTTACGTGGAATCCTTACTGGAATCTCCAAAAAATGCATTTTTGAAGTGGGATCTCTTGGCTTCCACAAAAACAAGCACCTCAGCCTGCCCTTTTTCCTGAAATTCAATGTGTTTACTATACATGACCTTTAAGATAAGGTAATTTCTTCTAGAGGATGCCTTCTATAACCCTAGCACTAATTCCATGTATTTCTAACATATTGTTGCTAGGAAGAATCATGGAAAGCAAATGGTCTTTCTGAAACTACTGCCTTCTATTGGGAATGAGGAAAAAATAAAAGGTCACTGAAACTATACTAAACATACTTTCACGTACAAGAAGTTTTTTAATAAGCAATAAAGTCTCCTTTTTCTAACAGCTACATGTTCCTCCTGAATCTCTATTTAACTTCATTTTTTAAAAGTAAAATATTGCCATGCTTTCCTGTAGTGAACATAACATTCCTTTGAAGACATGGGACTAACAAACAGGCTTGAGTTCTAACAGTAGAGCCATATTTCCAGTTTACATTCAACAAAATACATATATGCATCAAAGGTTACTTGAGTAGACAGTATGACCTAAAAGGCTGCTCTGACATAATCCATTTTTAAAGATGTTCAGCGTTAAGACTTGATTAACATAACTTAAAAATTGCGGAAAGACTCTAAAAACATATATTCCATATGCATCATAATACAAAAAGAACTGATAAATTCATCATAAAAACTGTACCTGCATATTTTCTCTCAAATCCGTGGCATCCCGAATAGGTTGGAGAGCATTCTTGAACACTTCATCTATTGTCTTAATCCATAATGTTCTCATAGAAGCATATTCCCTTGATTTCTTGCCCTTCCTCACAGAGAGGCCCCGCTTATGAGGTTTCCCACCACCCCTTCGATTAGTAATGGCCACATGCACAAACAAGGAAGCATGTGCTAAAATTTCACCAGTTAAAGATTGCAGAGGAACATGTCGATAACCAGTCTGTAGACACTCAAAGGGAATAGTGTATTGCCCGATAAACTCATCCCCAATGTAATCATCATCCAGTACTACAAAACGCACCATAGCTAGTTCTGGTAAATTTATTTGAAATTCAAAACTTTCATCAAAAATTGGGTTATCCCCATTCTGATGCATAGTTTTCGTCCTTTGCTCTGCACAGTCGGCAGGGATTCCATGTATTTCAACATAGACATAAGGATCCACAACATCACCTTTGGCACCCGATCCTTTGGGTTTAGGAAAATTTTGCCCACTAATGATTTTAATATGAAGCAGCTGAGGTGAAACTCCAGGCACAGTGTCTTTCGTATTTGCGCTAAAGAAGGATACTTCTTCTCTCATGATAGCAGGACGAAGGACATAGCCACAGTTTCCATTTTGTCGAAACCAGCCAATGTTAAGATCCATCATTAAGCCAGGCGTCTGAAAGTTCATTGCTACTATCTGACAACCACATTTCCAAAAGTCCTGGGGATTCATATTACTAGAGTCAATCCTCATAGGACTGGGAAAAACTCTGGCAAGAAAACGTTTGTTATAATTTACAAAGTCTCCTGGGTTTTCATTGGCATATTTGCTAGCAAGCACTTCGTTAAACGAGCACACTTCCCAGTACTTCTGGAGCTGAAATGAAACTTGAAACTCTTTGAACTGAACCGACTTGCATATGCTTACCAACTCGGAGAGTTCTTTGCAGAGCTGAAACCGTTTCCCCGTCATCGAGTTTTGCTGTTCTACCCCCTCTTTCCCCACTCTCTGTGACATTTCTGCTCCTTCATCTTCATCTGTAACATCTCCCTCTAGTCCAGAACAATTAGAAGAAAGCTTCTTTGCTTTAATTAGTATTTTCCCTTTAAGAGATTCTGGTGATGGAAGGTAAGACTCTTCAATGTTTGGAGACTGTGTATGTAGCTTGTCCCCCAAAATTTTCTTCATGTGTTGTACCATCACTTTCTGCTGCTTAATAGAACAATGATTTTCTAGACACAAAATAAGAGGGTATTCTGAGGCAAAAAATGCATACTTATTAATAATGTCAATCACACTACGGAAGACAATCTGCGATGTCATTGTATGTCCTGTGTAAATTACAGGCTCGTTATCTGGACCATCCCATACATCCAGTTCAACACTTCGACAACCCATTTTAAGAGCACGAATGTAACCTGTGATGTCAGAAGGCCCTCGAAACTGATCCTCTATCAAGTATGTATTATGAGATGAATTTATAAAATAATGAGATAAAGGCTGTTTCATGTCTTGACAAACTTTTTTATGTTCTGGATCAAATATGTGGCAGTCTGGTGAAGTAAGGTAATTCGTAAACCCATCTATAGAAAGACAACCCTTTTCCTGGCCCTCTTTGGCTGGCTCATATTTCTGAATAATTTCAAGGCTTATTTCTTCCGTGACATGTGCCATCCCCTGTTCTGCTTCCAAAAACATCATGAGGTCCTTGGTATCTAGGAACTCTTTATTGCTTGAAAACTGAACCAACAGGAAATAGATTTCAGGTCTAGTACAAAGCTCATGAAAAACTTCAATAAACTCTTCTTTTGTTACTTCAGTACCAGTTTTTTCCTTGGATCTATGTAACTCCTTGAATTTTAGTTCAATTTTGTTAGTTTTTAAACCAGGATTTAAGTCTTTTATAAACTGTACAGCATTACACAGGGGTATATGTCCCAAATTATCTACATCTGCTTCACCGAACATTTGTGAAAGCCATGAAGTCCGCATATTATCTTGAGTACTTTCTATCATATCTAGAGTATGCTTTCCATAAGAAATCAGGTACCTTAAGCCAGTAACCCAAATATTTGCAATGTCTGCTGAGTTAGCAACAAGATCTAGTGACTCATAGTTTTCTCCATATATAATTGAAAATGCACAGTCTTCTGATATCTGGTCATATATCCCATTGCTGCGAAAAATATCTGTATTTTTTCCTGTTCTTACTTCTTTGATTGATTTAATATCAATCTTTGCTTTTTCAGAATCCTTTTTTGAAGGTTCCCACCGTAGAGACTGCATATCTGCATCTAAAAGAAAGTATCGGTGATAGACTCTAGAGTTGGATCGAATCTTTTTGAGCTCAGAGCCTTCAACCATCGCGTTTATACAGTCACTTGCACTGCTGATCTTCTTCTCAGTTGGCATACTGCTAAACGACACAGTCTTCTTCCGTTCTCGCTTTTGTTTCGTACCATCCTGGTAAACAAGGAAGGGAAAAAAGAAAACATGTATCAGTATGATTTTGCTCAACATTGAAACAGGTTTCAACCTACAGCTCAAAGTTCATTAAGTAGTTCAAAAAGGTCTAGTATATGTGATGACCAGTAAGACAGAATTCCATATTGGAATAAAAGAAAATACTAATAATGGCTTAATGTTTGTTCTTGCCTGTGTAAGTAATCTTCCAGGATCTTTTTTTTAATATTTTGTATGAACAAATAATTAAACAAAGCAAGTTTTGAATGCTAATGAAATAATAATGCTGTATAATGCATTTTTTGTTTATCAGTAATAACCTACTTACAGAGATAACGGGTTCTACAGCCAATGCAGTAGGAAATAAACTTTCCTCTAGTCCTTATACAGTCCTACAAATTCTTGCTGAATTTTGTCAGTAGAGAGTATAAGGCTTTAATACCATGCCAACAAGGTCCTCATGAACACCAGAGAAACATTAATACAAACTTGACTACATAAAGCCATAGGACATGGTCATTTAACAAAAATGAAAAACTAAAAAGAAAAAATAATGTAATTTACCTAGCTCTATTAATTCAAATAAGTGCAAATAAATCAGTAATAGATCACTTAAGTATAATCAATTTCATGAGAAGTTACTGAATTTAAGAAAACTGTGTGCTTTCATTATCTGCATATTCTGAGATTGAAAAAAACGCTATGTTTTAGTGAGGGTTTTTTTAAAGCATTGTGTATCTTAATAAGCTAACTTTCAGTTCGAAATAATACTTCCATGAAATAATGTTTTAATGTTAGATATCCTGTTTACAAGTGGTGTTCTTTTATTCTAGCACTGCTCAAAAAATTACTTTTCCAGCTTATACAAAAAGAACGATCTTCCCTCTAATAGCTTTCCATTTGAATTATGTTCCAGTGCAAATCAGCATTGCTTATATGGCAGAAACGAGAGGGAAAGAAAACTTTCAACAACTGCAACGCTGAACAGATGTTCAAATAAAAACCATCCATTATAGAATGCGTTTCCAGTTCAGGGCATATGTACTGTATGTTTAATTTCATTTAATTCTGCTTTTGTAATTCAATTTATAAGCATCCGAAAAGTCTTTCATGGAAAACAACGATGAGTAAAGTAAGCAGACTCAATATTTGCCGTTCCGTGTTTGAGAAAACTAATCAACCATAAAATTCTTGCACCTTTAATGACAGCAGAATTTGCTTTGCACAAGTTCTCAAGAGACCAGTAAAAGTGAATAACCCTACAGGGGACTGTTTTATTTCTAACTCCAGATCAAACACCTGCAATGGATTCCACACAGGATTGACTCTTGGAATCTCATTACGTGTAGTCTGGGCATAAGGATTGTTTTCAAACAAAAGCAAATTTCCTTAATTTAAAAAAAAAAAAAAAAGTGATTTTTTGTTTACAAATATTTTTTTTTCTATTTTAAACCTAGCTTCTTGTCTGGCTACCCATCTATCTACATCTCCCAACCTGGAAAGTGGCAAGGGACAGCCTCCCAGAAATGAGCAATGACATTCCTGTCCAGTATTTTAGGGCTTGGAATGAAGCATGCTGAAACTCCCTAATGCTCCAGATTTCTCAGTCACAAATCTAGGAGGAGAATACATTTCTGTGCCTTTCTCTATAATGAGGATTGTGTCTGATTCAAACCACTGAATGGCAAGGGAGAAAAAAAATCTGCCATTTCTTTACATCATGTAACGTAAAAAGGTTTCTAGTTACTTATAGACTGAACTGGAGTTTACACATGCAGATCAGAGGAATAATTCAATCTACTGCACCTGCAAGACTATTTTGCTTGTCTGCTAGCTGAATTTTGACGCCAGTTCAACAGCATTCTGCAATTCTGCAGGGTAAAGCAATCTCACCACTTGGCTTATTCATATAAAGCCTGCCAGCAGTAGACATCACTGTCTGAATGTGATGAGTGTGAAGACAAATTTTAAAACACTCTCATGAGTTTCTCACAGCTCTCAACTGCAGAACATCCTTCGTAAGTTTTTGCTTCCACAGCGATCAGCGACCCTGAGCTACCAGATTGCCTGTGCAAGTCCCCATCCCAATAGACACAGCAGTCACAATCAGTCTTCATAAACAGAAGAACTTCTAAAGGATATTCTCCTAAAGACACTGGTCCAAATAAGTAACCAAATAAGTAACTATCTGAAAAGAAACAGGAGAGAAACTCTCGCTCATAAGCTGAGAACGTAATTGCATAGTGTGTGCAAAAACTGTACAAAAATGGTTTATGAGCCTCAGAGATATAGTCTGGCAGGGAGAAGGAGGCAGATATTATCTGCTATACGATGTGGAGGATTCATGAGCTGGGTCAGGTTTCTCATGGCCTCAAGTCTGTCTTGAATCAAACAGACTGGCACATCAGAAAACTGCATGGATCTGAACAAACACCGGAGGGGCTTCTCAGCATTCAGGAGACCTACAATCTTCTTGATGCTGTTCAAGACACTCAAAGTGAGGCTGGCTCTATGGTGCAGATGCTCAATTCTGTTCACCGCAGAAGCTATAATTTTTGCACTGAAACAAGTTTCAGAGTCAGTCTAGGATCTCTCACAATAACAAAGACTATGCCAATCTTCAGATTATAACAGGTACTGTCAGCATAATGAAGGAGTTGCCCTAAAGACTGTCTGTTCTTCAGAAGACTTTATCATTGAAACCAAAATGACCACCTCATCAATCATTTCCCAAAACCATGTGTGCCACAACCAAGGTCATCTACAGGAATTTTTGAGAAAAAGACCAGATCACAGATAAAACTGTTGTGAAACTTTGTTAGTATCTGCTACAAGTGACAACACGAAGAGTTTAGTTCATCCAGCAGTTCATAGCAACAGAAAGCAAAGTATCTATCAGTTTAAAAACCAGAAATAATCCCAGCTGACACGTATGGCACTTAAGAGCCAGAGACAGCTGGAGAAAACAGCTTAAAAGAGCAAACAGGGAAGAGTATCTCTATGATAACTTTTTTTTAATTCCTCTCAAGGTAGAAACAATGAAATGGTTTGTGTTCAAGACAGCACTATCTACAAAACAGAATTCTGCAGACAACAAAGAATCTTGAATCGGACACTGAGAGATATACACATCAGTCCTGAACAGCAAAGCTTTTAATGTACACAACTTCAGCAGTTCCAATAACCACAAGTACTGATAGGGACAATGGTGAAGTTCAAATAGAGATTTGATAATGTAATAGATCAGGATGACAGAGGAGACAATGAATAGTGCAAGGTTTGGAAACATCTGCTAAATGAAAGGATGCCGGGAGTGAACTTCACAACCTGTAAATGCCCCAACGATTCATGCCCCAGATGACGACACCATGGGGGAAGTAGTACTTCAAAAAGCATTCAATCCCAGAGTTACCGAGAAGTTTAGGTAGTGCTCGGAACAGTAGAATCTAGAACACTTTGGGAAGAAACTCACAGCCCAAGGCAGGGTCCTGCCACCCCGCCAAGGTGGGATGCGAGGGGGCACAGCTGGAGCACTGCGCAGGACAGTCCTTCCATCTGCCAACACAGAATGGTCCTTACATTCACCAACGCAAACTCTGGACACAAGTGTCTGCAATCCTGCCCCTCTCAATGACTACCACAGCTGCCTGCAGCTTTGATGTGGTAGTTATGCTAACTGGGATTGGAAGATCAAGACCTCTATCTGCATTCAGCCCACTAAGGTATTGCTTTTGGGACAGAGCACTTTACAAAGAAAAGGCAATGGTAACAAGAGGAAGTGGCAGAATGACACATTTTTAGAGCACTCATCTGGGAAGTGAAAGTCCCTGATGTCATTACTCCATAAACATTTCACTTGGTGACCCTGAATGGAAAATGTACAAACAGCCCATGCAGTAGGGACGTGAATACAGAATTCTGCCCTCGCAGAGGAACACCCACCTCCCCAGGTGACAGACACTGCTGCTTCCTGTTTTCGCTCTAACCATACAAAATTTCCATTCCTGTTTATACACAAGAGGTTCCTCGGTGGAAGGCAGTCCCATCCTGAGAACAGTGGCTAGCACACGAGGGGCTGCGCGTGTGAAGATCCCCAGGCAGAAGGACTGGAGCCCGGTCACTCAATGAGGAGGTGAGTGCTCTGCCAACCAAGCAACTACATAAAAAACAGAGCACAAGACACTTCCTCTCAACCCCAGCACCTCACTGCAGGCTTTTTCTCTGTAAATGGCTGAGCTTTGACAATGTGTGAAGAAACTCATTCACCTTGTGATACCAATGGCACACGGTCCACAGGAGCCACAGTCCCAAGAATGCCTACTTAATTAATCCCAAACAGGCTTACAAACAGGATGGATGTTGAGCCATTCAGCCTAGCAAAGATGGCAACATCTGTACGTATATGTATTAAACAAGACTGCAACCACGTACAGTGTCTCAAGAGCTTTTAAATAAATCAATTTTTTTTTACATGTAAGTTCTGAATTAAGTGACATGTTTGGGAATCTGAGGGTCAGTGTTGTGGCAATACTCTGCACAATTACTGGTGAATAGGTGAGAACACAGGCCATGCCTAAGTATGGTTAATGTATTTTTTTTAAAATCATACTATTATTTAATGTCATACAGTATAAAAGCTGCTTTAGAAGTAATTTAATGTACATCTGTAGCCAACAGTTGCAATACAATTCACTACTTCATGACAAGAACAGACAGTCGAATGATCTTCATGACGAAGATAGTGAACTACACTTCTGACACTATACAACTCGTTGATGACTTTCTTTTATGGCACATATGACACTTAAGTAGCCAACTTGAGTATGAAAACTGCCCGGCTTCTTCAGATGCGATTCAGCAGCAACTGCAACATCACCTAGCTTAACAACGGGATGTGTAACGTAAGCCTATTTCAGGAAGTGGTTAATTAAAAAAATAAAATGAAGCTTCATTTATTTAATTAAGATTCCTAAGCATTTTTCTTCGGAACCCTG